CCCCGAAAGCCGACGGCTGCTGCCACAACTCTGCGTGCCCTTGGCGGGGGGGAGGCAGCTCTGCACGCTGCCCCTGCCCCAGGCAGCACACGGAGCCCCGCTGCCCCCCTCCCCCAAAAGGGCGTGCAGAGATGTGCCAGCAGGAGTGCAGCAGGGCTAAGGCATCTCCCTGCCCGCGCTGCCTCCCTCCCTCCATGCCGCTCCTGGAAGCGGCCAGCATGTCCCTGCAGCTCCTGGGGTGTGTGTATGTCTCTGTGCGTTGCCTCCGCCCTGAGTACCGACTCCGCAGCTCCCATTGGCTGGGAACTGCAGCCAATGGGAGCTGCAGGAGCGGCGCCTGCAGGCAGCAGTGCGCACAGACCCCCTGGTCCCCCCTCCCCGCCTAGGAGCTGCTGCCAGAGGGGTGTGCCGATCACTTTGGGAGCTGTGCCGCCCAAGGTAAGCCTCGCCCCCCCGATCCCTCTTGCACCCCAACCCCCAGCCCAGAGCCCGCACCCCTCACCCCCTCCCACCCTCCAACCCTCTCTGCCCCAGCCCAGAGCCTGCACCCAGCCTACACCCCAACCCCAGTCAAGGTACCTCACTTTATTTTCATTTATTTCTTATTACTTATAATATAGGAGTAGGATGAAGAAAAAAAGAATGAAAAACGGGGGGGGGGGAGATAAGAGAGAATGTTCTTTTTCTTGGCTGGGTCCCAAGGGGGGCCCCCAAAAATGAAGCTGCGTACAAGGCCCCACTAACTCTAAATCCACCACTGCACATCTCCCAGCCAGGCAGTGACCAGGCCCAACCCAGCTTATCTGACAAAGCTGCAGACAGTATGGATATGAAGGAGTGGAAGAAAAGGGAAGGAGTTGGGAGCTAGGGAAGATGTTTGTGTAAGGTTACCATTCGTCCGGATTCCCCCGGACACGTCCGGCTTTTCTTAGTTAAAAATAGTGTCCGGGAGGAATTTGTAAAGGTCTGGACTTCCCCCCCATGCAGAGCGCGCATGCGGCTGACAGGGCAGCTGGCCAGATGGTGCCACTTGCATGGGGCTCTGGCAGCCAGAGAGAACCCCTCCTCCGCTTCCCCCTCCTCTCCCCTGCAGCTGAGTTCACTCCCCTCCTCTCTCTCCCTCCCTCCCCCTCCCTGCATTCGCAGCCGGCTGGCCGTTCGCAACGGGCCTCTGGCAGTCTGGAGCTCCTCCTGCTGCCCAGCGTGCCACTCTGCAGCACTCTGCGAGGGCGGGAACCGGGCTATGCACTCCATGGGGGAGCGTGGCAGCGTGTGGGGCTGCGTGTGGAGCCCGACACGCTGTTCTGAGCGGCACGGTAAGGGGGCCAGAGGGTCGGAGAAGGGGCAGGGAGGTTCTGGAGGGGGCAGTCAAGAGACAGGGAGCAGGGGGGGGGTTGGATGGGTCGGGAGTTCGGAGGGGGCTGTAAGGTTTTGGGCAGTCAGGGTACAGGTAGGGGGTAGGGTCCTAGGGGGGGCAGTTAGGGTGGGGGGGGGGTCTCAGGAGGGGGCAGTTAGGGGACATGAACAGGGAGGGTTAGGTAGGGGGTGGGGTTCTGGAGGGCAGTTAGGTAGGGTTACCATACGTCCGGTTTTTCCTGGACATGTCTGGCTTTTTGGTCCTCAAATCCCCGTCCGGGGGGAATTGCCAAAAAGCCGAACACGTCCGGGAAAATAGCTTTGCCGGCATCCCTGTCCCAGTCCCCTGCTTACCTTGCGGCTCCCGCAGGCTACGAGCTGCAGGCGGATTCCCCCGTGGCAGCTGCTGCTGCTCCCCCCAGACACCTCAGCTCTGTGTAGCTGAAGAGCCGAGCTGCCCCAGCGCTACCGGCTTCACGGTTTGCTGGGCAGCCTCCAGACCTCCAGACCCTGCACCTTCGGCCGGGCGCTTCCTCTCCCGGGCTCCGGCTACGCTGGGGAAGCAAACCGTGAAGCTGGTAGCCCTCGGGCAGCTGTTTAACGG